GGGCACCTCCATCTCCCCCCAAGTGCTCAGGCTGGTGGCACCACCGGGAACGGTGTCACCCCCATGGTGTCACCCACCAGGTGGAACCTCTCCTCGGAGAGCAGGCTCTCTCGGCGCAGCTGCTCCACCAGCTCCTCCATGGCCTCCAGCCGGGCCCGGTGCCTCCTCTGCCGCTGCTGCAGCACCTTCACCTTCCTCTGCAGCACCAGCGCCACCGCCACGAGCTCCTCGGTGCTCAGCTCCCCCGGAGGAGGAGGGGGCGTCCCCGCGGCCCCCCGCGACACGATGGGGACGGTGGAGACGACGGGCGGCCGCAGGGCGGAGGAGAGGACGGTCACCGCGGGGGAGGGGGGCGGCGCTGGCAGCGCGGTGGGATCCGGCGCGGGGACCTCGGGGGTTTTGGGGACGGGTGGCCCCCCCGGTGTCACCGGCTCAGGGACGCTCGCCGGGAGGGGCTGCTCAGGCTGGGTGCTGGGATTTTCCTGTTTCTGTAGAAAAAAACCCACCGATCTCCCGTTTTTAGAGGGTCTCGCGGCGCCGTGGTGGAGCAGAGGACGGGTTTCTCCTCAAAAGCCCCCGCTCTGGGGACAAAAGGCATCACGAGGTGACAAACTCCTCCAGACCCTTCTGGTGGAGCTCCTAAATCCCTCGGGGGGAACACCTGGACCCTCTGAGGAGCTTCCAGACCTCCCCAAGACCCCCCAAAGAGCTTCTATCCCCTTCTGGGGGGGCTTCCAGGCCCTTCGAGACCCCTCTGAGGAGCTTCCAGACCCCTCCAAGACCCCTCTGAGGAGCTTCCTGACCTTTCAATTCCCCCCAAAGAGCTTGGATCCCCTTCTTAGGGGGCTTCCACACCCTTTCTGTCCCCTCTAAAAAGCTTCAAGACCCCTTGAGACCCTTCTGGGGAGCTCCAAGATGATTCCAAGGGACCCTTCCCTCTCCCAGAAGCTCATCTCCCTCTTCCCAGAAGAAGAGGGAGCTCGTAGATGCTTCTAGATCCTTCTTGGCGGGGGGGAAGGGTGTTTTCCAGCCTCTTCTAGGTGCTTCTGGGGGGAGGGCGCTGGCCGTGGGGCCGAGGGGAGGGTGCTCACCGTGGGGCCGAGGGGGAAGATGGTGGGGACGGCGTCGGGGCGCAGGTAGCGGACCCCCCAGCGGTACTGGAAGCAGGAGGGCTCGAAGTGGTCGCTGCAGAGGTGCTGGTGCCGCGTGGGCACCCAGTTCTCCCGCCGCATCTGCGCCAGCCATTGCCGCAGCCGCGCCGCGTCCCGCAGCGGGAACCTGGGGAGGGGGGGACACGACAGGGGCGGGGGTTCATGGGTCACGCTGGGCGGGGGGGGGACACACGACTCCCCCCTCACTCCCCACCTCGGGTGCCCCCACCTCAAAGTCCTCATCCTTCTTCTCGGGGCTTCCCACCCCCAAGAGCCCATCTGGCCCCTCCCCGGGCACCAGCCCCACCCCAGAACCAGCCCCAGGACCCGCCTCCACCCAGGTTCAAGTTCAGGGTCAGGGTCAGGCCCAAGTCCTGGCCCCACCCAGACCCACCAGGCCACAGGGTCACCCCAAACCAGCCCCAGGCCCCACCTCGCCCCAGACGCCACCTCAGAACCAGCCCCAGGCCCCACCAAAGCCCCGGCCCCACCCAGACTCCACCCCAGGCCCCAGGGCTGCCCCAGAAGCGGCACAAGGACCCAGCCCCACTCAGGTTCAAGTTCAGGCTCAGGCCCAAGCCCAGCCTCAGGCCCACCAAGGTCCTGGACCCACCCCAGAACCAGCCCAAAGCCCAAACCCCAGCCCCACCTCCCCCCTGAACCAGCCCCAGGACCCAGCTCCACTCAGGTTCAAGTTCAGGATCAGGGTCAGGCCCAAGTCCAGGCCACACCCCAGGCCCTGGGGCCACCCCAGAACCAGCCCCAGGCCCCACCAAAACCCAAACCCCACCCAGACTCCACCCCTGAGCGAATCCTAGGCCCACCCCAGGCCCTGAGGCTGCCCCAGAACCAGGGCCAGGCCCCACCCCAGGCCCCAAGGCCACCTCAGAACCAGACCCAGAGCCAGGCCCAGGCCTCACCTCGGCCCCACCTAGACCCAGACCTCTCCCAGGCCCCACCAAAGCCCGGTCCCACCCAGACTCCACCCCAGAGCGAGCCCTAGGCCCACCCCAGGCCCCGGGGCCGCCCCAGAACCAGAACCAGGCCCCGGGGCCGCTCCAGCCCCAGAATCAGGCCCAGGCCCCACCCCAGGCCCCGGGGCCGCCTCAGGCCCAGGCCCCGGCCCCAGTGCCCACTTGTAGAAGCTGAGGCGCCGGGCGGGCGGCCGGGCCTGTCCCGCCGCGTTGGAGCAGTGCGGGGCCCGGCAGGACTTGGGCATCGCCGCACGCACGGACGGGACGCGACGCCGTTACGTCAGCGCGCACGGCCGTCGCCATAGCAACGCTTGGCCCCGCGAGAGCGCATGCGCACTGAGTGGGGGGGAGCCGTCGCCATGGCAACCGGGCCTACCCGGCTCCGGGGAAACCCCTTGGGGGTGCTAACGGGTGGGACTGTTGGAAAATACGAGGTGTTCTGAACTTGGTGTAAAATCTTTGTATATTTGTGATCTGGTACTGCATTCTATAATAATGGGAGAGGGGTATAGTTTAAAGCTACTGAAGCGGCATACCGAGGACGCCTGAAAAGTCAAGAAGGATAAGGAGGAGATAGGCATCTAAAACGGGCCTGGAAACCTACCAGAGGGACGAAAGGTAAAAAGTACACGGCGAGGAAGACGTCTTACTTCATCAGAAACGACCACCGAAGACCACTAGAAGGGACTGGAATGTCGCCAGAATGACGCAATCTATGAAGCAATCCCTAATGAATATGTAATAAGAGGTGATGGGGTGACTATTGTATATGTATGAAATTGTATAATCGTGAGAGTATAAATTGTAAGTTGACACGGTCGTCGGCGAACCAGATTTGGGTGACTACCCCTGGTTCCCGGGCCCGCGAAATAAAGCACCGCATATAACTACCTTCCAGTGGTTATGTGTTTGTCACCGACAGGACGGCTCCGCTCTCCGCCGGTGGGGCAGAGCAGGCCGCTCCCCACACCGGTAATCACCCCGGGGATTGTAACGGCGGTGCCGATTATATGAGAAATCGTATAATGGAGAAATAACCCCGTGCCCAGCCGATGGGTTGGGGTCGGCGGGGCTCGAACCCGCGGCCTCCAGAAGTGTGAAGGCGGGGCCAAGCGCCGCTCCGCCCCGCTATTGGCCGAGCCCGAGGCGCCGGCGCTGCCATTGGTGGAGGGGAGGCGGGGCGCTCGGGCGGCAGCCGATGGGGAGGCGCGGCCGGCTCTGGGCGCGCAGTTCGCGGGGCTGAGGGGACGGCGGCCATGGCGGTGCCGAGCGGCGGGGCCGGGCC